TTTAAAACTGTTGTTTTATTGAATAAATAAGCAAATTGTCAATAATTCTACAATGATGCTTTTGAAGAATGTTGACCACGCCCTAACTAACTGTTGCATATGGGGAGAAAACGTTGGGGTGGGCGTCTAGGCCAGGTCCTCTTCGCCTTCATCCTCAAACTCGCCCTCCTCCTCAGCGGTGGCGTCCTGGTACTGCTGGTACTCAGACACCAGGTCGTTCATGTTGCTCTCAGCCTCTGTGAACTCCATCTCATCCATGCCCTCGCCGGTGTACCTGAAACAAGGAAATATTACTCACTACATATAACTTTCAATCTTTCCTGACATTTATTTGTCCAAACGATTAATCTTGAAATACGTAAACCCTCTATCACTCACCAGTGGAGGAAGGCCTTGCGGCGGAACATGGCGGTGAACTGCTCTGAGATGCGCTTGAACAGCTCCTGAATGGCCGTGCTGTTGCCGATGAAGGTGGCGGCCATCTTGAGGCCACGGGGAGGGATGTCGCAGACGGCAGTCTTCACGTTGTTTGGGATCCATTCTACGAAGTAGCTGCTGTTTTTGTTCTGCACATTCAACATCTGCTCGTCTACTTCCTTCATGGACATGCGGCCTCTGAAGATGGCGGCGACCGTGAGGTAGCGGCCGTGGCGTGGGTCACAGGCTGCCATCATGTTCTTGGAGTCGAACATCTGCTGGGTGAGCTCAGGAACCGTCAGAGCCCTGGGGAGGACACACCATCCGATAAAGATTTATTTCAAAATGCATTTGTTAATGTGTTGTTTTAAGTGAAAAATATATATAATCGTCTTAATCACATTTACATGTATTTTGGGGGAGGATCAAAAAAACAAAACGTGTGGTGCTGTAATTCATGACAAACTGGTAAGAGCGCAATACATTTAGCTTGTTCCAATTTCTCCCTTTGTTTGCCTTTTCAAGGCGAGGCAATTATTGTTAGAAATCAACAATGGAAGTACGGAAGGATATTGAGGCCAAACCTGCTTTACATTCATTTTATGTTCTCTAGAAAAATTACAATTCTTAATGCTTTTGTATATATCTACCTGTACTGCTGGCTGCCACGGCTGGTCAATGGGGCGAAGCCGGGCATGAAGAAGTGCAGCCTGGGGAAGGGCACCATGTTGACAGCCAGTTTCCTCAAATCAGCATTGAGCTGGCCGGGGAAGCGCAGACAGGTGGTGACACCGCTCATGGTGGCTGAGACGAGGTGGTTGAGGTCTCCGTAGGTGGGGGTGGTGAGCTTCAGTGTGCGGAAGCAGATGTCATACAGCGCCTCATTATCAATGCAGAAGGTCTCATCTGTGTTCTCCACCAGCTGGTGGACGGAGAGGGTGGCGTTGTATGGCTCCACAACTGTGTCTGAAACCTGAGGTCGGGGGAGGGAGAAGGATTTACATTAAGGCAAGAAATAAGACAAGAAACATAGTTAATGTTGTAGTATTTTGGTGTATTATAAGCACCTTGGGGGAAGGCACCACGCTGAAAGTGTTCATGATGCGGTCTGGATACTCCTCTCGGATTTTGCTGATGAGCAGCGTGCCCATGCCCGAGCCGGTTCCTCCACCCAGGGAGTGTGTGAGCTGGAAGCCCTGCAGGCAGTCGCAGCTCTCCGCCTCCTTCCTCACCACATCCAGGACCGAGTCCACCAGCTCGGCTCCCTCAGTGTAGTGACCCTTAGCCCAGTTATTACCAGCTCCGCTCTGGCCTGTGTCACATGCAAACACACAACTCTATCAAAGCTGTGACATCAGCACATCCTGGGTCTACATTAAATAGGACTTCATTGGTCAAATGTTAAAGAGTGAAGAGTAGGGATGGGTATCGCGAACCGGTACTAAGTCAGTACCGGTACCTGATTGGACGGTATTGGTATACCGTTAAGCCGCTGGACAAATGGTGCTGCCATCGGTATATGAATTACGCTACTTCCTTAGTTTAAACAATTCTGGTTGGTTCGGAACCCTCATCCCGTGTGATGGATCCGGTTTGATTATCACTCTGATTGGCCACTGTGAATGCCACTCGTCATCTCTCCTAACAGCGCTCTTATTATTGTGAGACTCCCGGGGTCAGACGCAACATCTTGCAAGAAACAGCGTCTCAAGGCTTCTTAACATTTAACAACCTATTAATGATGCACTTAACGGTAAGAAACTCAGCTAACAGGCGATATTAACCATTTTACCTACACGGAACAGAATTCCAACACCAAGAGTCTAAATCAACACTTAGCAAAACGGGCTAACGGCTGCTTTAGCACATAACTGGCAAAAGCTTCCGGTTTAGGAGGTGCGCACGCAGCGTCTCGTTTTAACTGAATAATGGTCATGTTTACATGGATTTATGAACTGCCCCTAATTACCACCCCCCTTCCAGAGACACACTGTCAAACACTCATACCTGCTTGGTATGACATTGAAAAAAAGTTACATTAAATAAATAAAAATGTCAATAAAATGACTGTTGTTTAATCTTCACATCTTGTAATCATGTCTATAATTTTGAGCACCAAATTATTGAAAAGTATCGAAAAATACCGGTATCGATAACTAGTATTGGTATCGATAAAATCCTAACGATACCAATCCCTAGTGAAGAGTGACTGTAGATCAGGGCTGCACAATATGCGGAAAACATACGATGGCATGGCTTTATGTAAAACTAATAAATGTAAGTTAAAAAATTAAGCAGCAATAAAAAAATAATGATAGTTGCAGTAATGCAGTTTTATGTTCAAAGTCTGTGAACTCATTCAAAAATACTTAAATGCAATAATTCAGCCTTTCACAATGTGTATATCGCACAAGACGACAAATTATTTTTTGGAATATATTGTTCAGCCCTAATCCAGTTGCTTAATCACAGTATGGCAACTTCAATAACCCAAGTTAAAACACAAGACATTTTCATATTCTCACCAAAGACAAAGTTGTCTGGTCTAAAGATCTGGCCGAAGGGACCGGACCTCACCGAGTCCATCGTGCCGGGCTCCAAGTCCACCAGCACGGCCCGGGGGACATACTTCCCACCTGGTGATTCAAACACAAGACGACATTATTTATATTAAGCATTTTTTTTTCTTAATAGCTGCATTATAATTACTCAAGCAAAACCATGTTAATCTTTTTTCATCAAAGACTTTGCTTTCTTAAAGTATGACCAAACACAGTAAAAAGCATATTGTACGCTCAATTATATTTTATAATAGTTTGTCTGGCATTAATACAGTCCAGTCTTCTTACAGCACAAGGTTAGCCAGGGGTTAAATTGGGATTGTCTATGGGGGGCTCTGTGTCGAGGTGCGGGCGTGGTCGCACATCACATAATCTGCTACTGTATCAAATGCGCACATTGATGCCACCAAATGAGACAAAAAAGTATTACAAATATGACCGTCTTTCTAATAGTGACATTAAACTTGAATTAATATAAATCTTAAATTATTAATATATACACAAAAATGTGTACGTGCTTTGTATTGGTCGGCGTAGCTTAAAAATATTTGTTCGGAAATCTCAGCATTTACAGTATGCTGTAAATCTCACGATACACAATTTGATCATAACCACATTCGGTGTTATGACTGATCATAACTCAGCTTTAAGCACAGGCATACATATAGCATGGTGTAAGAAACGGGCTCCGTGTTACCAAGACGGGCGGGGTGGTTTGGCGCAGAGCCTTTGCACCACCCGCCCGCAGCGGAGTCTGGGCGGTGCTGCAGCTCCAACGCAGAGACACACGTTCACCAAGGCCGATTTTAAAATAAAGTCAACACATATCGACCCTAAATATAGTATAGTTAAGAACGAGAAACGTTTTGGAATATCTTTTTCTGATATCTTCTGACAACGGTACGGGGGTGATGACGTCAGAGCATCGCCCTATTTGCCGGGCTCAGCCTCCGCTCAATTTAACCCCTTGTTACACCTAATATATAATAAATAATACAAAATAACCGAAGTGACTGGCTAATATATGTCGACAGAATATTATAATAAGTTAAAGCTGTATTGTTGTTTTGGAAAGTATAATTATCTTGACGTTTTGTTGACTTGTTGCCGTATCCTAGAAACGGCGGCGCTAGCAACAGTAGAGCTAAAGCAAAGCTAACCTGAAGCCTCATTGTAATAGACGTTGATGCGATCCAGCTGCAGGTCGCTGTCCCCCTGGTATGAGCCGGTCGGGTCGATGCCATGTTCGTCGCTTATGACTTCCCAAAACTAGAAGAGAATAAAACACAACAACGGTCAAATTACCTGCAAACTAGCATGACTTAGCTTAACCTGTTAAGCCCCGAGCCTGTTTTTCAGGTTTCAGGCTCGAAAATGACATGCCCAGAACAAATGACTTTAACTTCACTTCTAAAAGGGTTAAATTAATAATCTTTTTTCTCAAAGCAATGTTACATCTGTGAGTTGGATGTAGAAGTGTCAGAATCAATATAGATGTTTCTGTGTCAGAGAAAATTCAGATGGAACATAGTAAAAAAGTGTAAATTCTTACCTCCGCCTAAAAAAAACCCATTACTTATAGTGAAAACCACCCTTGAATGATGGGTTAGTAGCCTGAAAGCTTTGGGAATTCAAAGTATAACTAATAATAAGTACACTGTATCAAGATTGAGGCAAAACAAGTGAAAATTGACCTTTTTAGAGAGGTTTAGGGAAAAACAGCCCAGGCGGACTAAGCTTTGGGCACATTTGGGCACGTCTGGTTCCATCAGTGCCATTTGACCTTTTTCCAGGTACCAGACAGTAAAAATCATTTTATAACATTGAATCATCACTATAGGTATTCATTCCATAAAAAATAAAAATAAATAAAAATAAAATAAAAAAGATTGTAAAATTAAAAAAATTAAAATATATATTTAAGTGTGTGTGTGGGGTGTGTGTGTGTGTGGGTGTGTGGGAAGTTCCCTCTTTGCATGAGATGCATGTTTACTTGCACAATAAAAATGAGGAAACATAGGAAACATTTGACTCCAACTGGAGCAGATTTATATAAAAGAATGTTAGCACTAACACAATAACACCACACTTTAGGTAAAAAAAAAAATTGGGTGATAAAAACTCTCAAAACTTTATACAAACCAACCCTGAATGTTATGGTATTATTGCAGTAAGTCATGCCATGCCCTGAAACAGTTCTTTTTGGGAGTGAAGCACAGAGGGACCTGACACTTCCTGAAGTACACAGGTGTCTTCACCCTTCTGCTGCCAGCATCAGAGCACTTCCTGCAGTACCTCCTGACCGTGGTGGCATCTTCCCCATAATGCTCGGGCATGCATGTCAGTGATGGTGTGGGGGTTGGTGGGCGGGGTGGTACTGCTGCAGGGTCTCCAGAAAACTCAACCATTTATTTTGCAAGCTGCTCCCTGAAGGACTTCTGGGTGTGTGGGTTCGTCCTGCCGGGGTCACCCCTCCTCTTGTGCAGCTCCTTCACGGAAATGTCCATAAAATGGTAAAAAAAAGAAAACAAATAGATTAATTCACTGGCTTGTACTTTCAAAAATGTAACTCAAATCAGAAATAATTTCTCTACAACAACAGTAATGTAAATTATGTGAGACGGGGGAACAGATTATATCAATATAATCTGTTCAATATTTAATATTAATATTCCGTCCGTCATATATTTATATATGTATGTGTATATTTTATATATATATATATATATATAATACCGTGTTAAATTCAACATGTATATTTTCTACTGTCTTGTTTATTTCTAGTCTTTGAACAATAAACGGCATCCATTTTATTTGTTTGTTGTTGAGTATTTGTGAAATAACATTAGATCACAAGATGGATGCCGTTGTGTTATTGTTATGCGTGTAAAATTACTATAGACGAATACTCTAACACCAAATAAATAACTAAAAGATAAAAACAGATGAATACTCTTACACCAAATAAATAAGTAATAGATACAAACAGAGAGATTACATACCTTTCCGTTGGTGGAACTTCATAATCGGAGTCACTCGATGCGTGATAAGATCACTATCTTCCGACGGAGAGTCCTCAAATACCATTTCCAATGCCTCCTGGATGGACAATAAAGTCTTCTTTCTGGCTGCCATTGTTCAAATGAAGAAATAAAACAAATCCGGCTGTTTTCCCTGATAATCCTGCTGTCTCGCTGTCCCGGTGATCTGCCGGTGATCTGCGCTCCTCTCAATGTGTTTCTGCTGCGTCAAAAACGTAGCAAGAGTGTGGGGTAAGCAGCATACTGGCCTGATGTACACTTACGCAGGACCCTATCTCTGGAACCCATTGGTCGATTTGCGTGATTTACACCTTTTTTGAATCGTTAGAGCCAATAGAATCGAGTGGCAGTTGGAAAATACGTAAATACTTTACGGCGGGGGAGGGGGAGCTATGCGTAAACTGCATGTCAAGCAGCTGAAGCTACGGACCCTAATCTTTGTACCTACTTTTCTGCCATGGATGAAAGGATTGATTGATCAGAAACAATTCTAACGTGACTAAGAGACATTGGATTAACCTTGAGCAGCGTTTTTATTCCGTTGAACACAACTTTTGATCACAAAAATCACAAGGTAAGACCTAATTATTGTCATGGATTTGAAAACTGATGTTGTTTATTTGCTATGTTCTGGCTGCTAGCTCAGTGAGTTCTTGTCATCCAGTGATGATACTTATATCAAAATAATCAGTGGAGTATCAGCTTTCAGATGATATGTAGTTTGTGCAGAACATATTATTATTAAAAATCGTTTTTGCTAGTTAGCTCCTGAAGTAGCATTAGCCCGTTTTCTCTAGGGGCTAATGCTAACGCTTCTTGTGAGACTTGTGTTTTGTTTCGGTAAAAATGGCTCGTATCATCAGTTAGCTGAGTTTGTTCCCGTTAGAATGGTATAACACATTCATAGTTTTTGAAAATATATATTTAAAATATTAAGAAGTGTCATGAAAAAAAAAAAAAAGACCCGCCGACGGGGTCGTTGGGGCTTAACATTAACGATTCGAACAGGTTGAACCCGTAGGTAGCTTTCATTAGCATTGCTGCTAAGTAGGCTAATCAACCCGCCCAAATGAACATTAACATCGACGCACTTAATGAATGAGTTAAGAATTCAAATGTAAATCTAAACTACTCTCTTACCTTAGCTCCAATTTGATTTCCACATTGGCCTGCCTGCAGATGCACGATTTCCCTCATTTTGGTTGAATTCAAATGTTCCAACCGACCGATCAAGACAAAGGTTTGAATCTGTACTGATGCAGCTACGAACTAACCAGAGAAGATGGGAGTGCTGCTATCAACCGTTACCCGATTAACAGGATTGGTCCAAATTCATGTCACTCAGCCTCAGCAGACATCTCATTGGTCAAAAAAATCTTAAGGGGGCGGTTTGCATACAATTTGTAGGTGCCTTTACCGCCACCTTCTGGAATGGAATGGATGAGCACTGTAAAACCTCAAATCCTACATTATAATCCTTGTCCGTTTGTAAAACCTAAATACTGCCCTGTACGCCACATCCCCTGAACTCCGTCGCAAACATATATTTAATTCTGTGTGGTTTCTGTTCAGTACTTGCTTCAGTTCTTAGAAATTGCAAAAAAACGTCATCAATTGTTTTGTCATTGCTAGCTTGCTACAATATTCACATTTGCCTTATGTATGTTTTTTCCACTATGAATAACGTGCTATTATGCCCTGTATGACCAATCTCATTCTGATAATGATGTCCTCTTTTTTTTTTTACATGACTATGTCCGTGCTGAACAGTACCCCCAACCCATAGTTCCGTGGGTGAATTATGTCAATCACTACATGCCAATACTTTTGTACTTTTACTTGAGTTACCTTTTGAATGCAGGGCTTTTACTTGTAACAGAGTATACCTACACTCTGGTACTACTTATTTTATTTTATAAAATATGCAGGGAAAAGAGGTTGGATATAATCTATCCAACCTCTTTTCCCTGCATATTTTATGGCAGAGTATTTACAGATTATCTTCAGAACAAGGAAGGGTATTTAAAAATGTTATATTTTGTAATGTACTGTGCATTGTTCTGTAAGGGGCCCAGACACACCAGGCCGATATCGGCCGGCTTCGGTTGTCTGGCGACAAAGCGCGCCCTGTCGCCCAAAGTCAATTTGGTGTGTCCCGAACCCTCGGCCGTGACACGCCTTATTTGGCCTTTCACGGTCGACACAGGGCCGATTCAACATGTTGAATCGGCCATGTGTCGAAGCTATCGGGCCAAGAAACCACTCTGATCAGCTGTTCAGCTAGCAAATGAGAAGCGAAACGGAAGTGAGGGACGTAAACAAACGATTTAAGGCACAGGACAGCAGCTAAACCCCAGCAGGTGATACTTAAAAGACATCAAACATAGCCCTTAAATGTCCTCTCTTACCTCCCACACATAGCAGGGACATCTCTGATATCGGCGGGAGCGTCCCCGGCTGTCCTCTGCTGAGAGCTCCGTGATTTGTTTGGTCAAGTCCGGTTTTTCATCTCATCGGTTTATTTGTCAGTATAAAGTTGCAGGATTAGTCTCAAGTACCTCAACATTGTCCTTAAGTACAGTGTCTAAGTAAATGAGATACTGTCTACTGCTGTTCATTTACCTATTGTGAGTCGCCTCGGATAAAAGCATCACATGGAAATGTAAATTTAGCAAGAAGTGGCCATTATTACATTACATACATTACTACATTGCTGACTCAATAAACTACACACCCGCCAGAACACTGCGATCATCAGATGCAGGTCTATTAACTGTGATGTTATAGTATGTCTGCACTTTATGTGCTCATTTCATCATTCATGTATTTTTATATTCTAAAACATGTTTTCGATGGACGAGAGTGAAAATGGAACGCACACACTATTTGCTGTTTGTTTATATCACAGTCTGTTCTTCTTCTCTTTCTTCCGGTTGTTGCCTATTTTGAATGACGAATACACACTACCGCCGCCTGCTGGTAAGGAGAGTTATTGCCACTCACGCATGCGCAGTTCGTACGTGCTCGGCTGAAGTCTTTGTGGTGTGTTCCAGTGCGACACATGGCCAAGACGCAGGAGAACTCTGCTGATCGTCTGACAGCAGCCAGATCAGTGCATGCGCTGCATCGTCCAATCAGTGAGCCATACACAGTAAGGGGGCGGGGCGAGTGTCTGAGGATTTCACCAGAGGATGGTCTGGTAGTTCCTCGATTATCGCTCCTCCGTTATCACTCCTTGATCCTCGATCCTCGATCCTCGATCCTCGGTCCTCCGGCAAAAATAAGGCCACTGGGACGGTACTCAATGTAATATTCTGTTCTATGGACATATAAGTGTCTACATAAACAGATGAAGCGGACTACTTGTGACATTCCGAGTGTCCATCTTTATTCAACTGGCGCGTAACATGCACACATGCATTACGTCATCAACGTGATCTCCGTAATCAAAGATCTTGTATTCACCAAGATGTTACATCCCCCTTCTTTAGAAAAGAACAGTATAGCTGCCATAACAAATAATAACCATATGCATTTAAAGCATTTAAAATAAATGTGCGTCTTAAGGCACTATATCTACTAATTGTGATTACTCTATCACGGAGGGAATATTATAAGGCTGGTACATCAACATTTAGTAAACACTTCTGCAGTTTAACTTATCTTTTTTGAACAGTTGCCCAGAAATAATTCTAATAGAGCATGTAGTACTGCTTCTGAAACAAAACTGTTAAATTAAATTTCTAAACAAACAAAAATCACAGTGCACTGTCAGTATTGCATTTCTCTTTTCTTTTTTTTTTCACAGGTCTAACACATCTCTTGGCTTCACTATGCGGCCTGATCTTGTGATCTTATTGTAAACAATGTGTGATTGCTCTCTGGGGCCTGTTTGTTTCTCAGTGTCCTGCTGCAAAGTCTCAGTGTCCTCGGGCTCCAACTGCTCGTCTGATGGAGTCTCCTGATCTGTGTCACTCTCACACGTTTGTAGAAGGTGACGCCTGTTGCGCCGAAACATGTGACCTCCGTCCGTGCAGATGTTGTAGGATCTCTGGGTACCTGCTGGCTCGACTACTGTTGCAGGTTTCCATGTCCCTGTTGGAAGCTGGAAGCGGATCGTGGCTCCCACTGGTAGTGCAGGCAGTGATCTGGCATTCCTGTCATAATATTGTTTTTGTCGTGTTTGACACTGTTCTCTCCTGCTGTGAACGGTGCTGTGACAGGCAAGCTCTGGTTGTAGATGCTTTTCAGTGGTGGGAAGGATGGAGCGCAGACGCTTGCTCATGAGTAGCTGCGCTGGCGATTTCAAACCATCCACTGGTGTGTTTCTATACTCCAACAAGCTGAGGTACAGGTCAGTTCTCTGAGCGTGTGCTTTGTCCATGAGAGCTTTGGCAGTCTGAACTGTTTTTTCTGCTAGCCCGTTGCTCTGTGGATACAGAGGACTGCTTGTGACATGCTTGAAGTCCCATGCATGAGCAAACGTTTTAAACTCTTGTGAACTGTAGCAAGGTCCATTATCGCTGACTAGTGTCTGTGGTATTCCAAATCGAGCGAACATGGCCTTCAGCTTTTGGATGACTACTGAGGAGGTGAGGCTGGTGATTTTTTCTACCTCAAAGAATCTACTATAATAGTCAACTACAACTACATAGTCAGTACTGTTCCATGTGAACAGATCAGTGGCTATTACCTGCCAAGGTTGTTCTGGGATTGGGTGTGACATCATAGGCTCTTTTGGGAGTGAGCTGCGTCACTCAAGGCAGGTGCTGCAGGTCCCTACTAGTGTCTCTATCTGCTTACCCATCCTTGGCCAGAACAGCACATCTCTTGCACGTTGTTTGCACTTCTCCATCCCTAAGTGTCCTGTGTGAAGGCGTGAAAGCATTTCAGCCCTGAGTGAGTGCGGCACGAGGATTTTCTCTCCTTTCAGTAGGATGCCATCTGTCTCTGATATCTCATCCCTATGATTCCAATACTCTGAGACTGCAGGTGGACATTTTTTGTTTTTCTCGGGCCACCCTGCTTGGATCACCTGTCTCAGCACTGAGAGCTGCTCATCTTCGGCTGTAGCGGCTCTGATCTCTGCCATTTTGCGGTCGCTTACCGGAGCGTTGCTGATCACAGTGTGTATTTGGTAGTCCATGCCCTCACTCATGGAGCGGTCGTAACACTCAAGTGGCTTTCTGGACAAAGT